TCAAGTAATATTCTTGGAGGAGATTTTAACTTGTACCAAAATTATTTCATGATAAAATACTTTTACTCATTTATCACTTTGAGGTACTTATAGTCTACAACACTGGTACTCATAGACTTAGCAACTCGGTTTCAGCTTTTTCAGCCATTTAGCACAGTATTTACTTTGAAATATAGCAGAACATGTGATTTCTCTATAGGTTCTAGGCTTCATGATAGAAGAAAAAAAACGTTTATCTTAATTTAATCAGATAAATCTTGAGTAAGTAAAGTATTTAAAAACGGTGCACTGAAAACATAAAACGGTGGCCTTTGTAAAGTTATAAAGGCGTGTGAAAATGTTTAAAAGTGTCAGAAAACGAGTATTTCGCTTGTTTGACAAGACTCCAGGCAGTTCCTGGTCGTGAATCTAGAACAGCGAAGCGAGGGATTCTGGGTAATGTAGTTCTTTAGCGTTGACGTCCGGGGGAGGAGAAGAGTCTCTTCAGCCTCCGCTCAGTTTGTGTAGATGTGAGTGGACTGCGAAGCAAGACTATTTCCTCGGGAACTTTTTTCCTCTTTTTTTTYCTTTTCCTCCTGTCTTTACATCCCTGAACGAGTCGAGGGGGACAAATGCGAAAATGCCAGCGGGAGTTGAGCTCGAAGCGGAGGGTTTGCTGGTTAGAAACTCGGCGCGGGAGAGCAGATGACTTGTGACAGCCGACGACGGTAAACTCTCTTAACGGGCTTCCAGGCGGCGTTGAATGGGGTGAAACGAGGCGGAATTCGCTCTGAAACTCAAGGATTTTTTTTTCTCTCCCCACAAACGACCCGAAATCCGGAGSTGGGGGAGAGAAAAAAGAAGGGGAGGAGAGGGAAAACGCCCTGCTTGCCTTGCCTGTTGCTGCTTCTGCTATCACCATATTCAAACTTTATCGGCGGAGTTGGTGGGAAAAAAAAATGCATCTTTCGCCGAACAGGAAGGTAACCACAGCTTCGACACTTAAAGCTAGCATGCTAATTTAGCGGCTAGTTTTTGGAGTTTATTTTTTTTATTTCTTTTGGGAATAATCTCCTCTCATCGTGCTTTTTTTTTTAAAACTATTCCCATTTTTTGGAAGCGATTTGGGTGGGCTGAGAGCCCAAGGCTGCTCCGCCAGGCCTTCGGCAGTTAGCCAGGGACAAAAGCGGGCTCCATGTAAAAACACCAAACAGCACTTTTGTTGCGGAGGATAACATTTTATTTTATTTTTGTAAAGTTGGTTTGAGTTCTGAAACAGAGCCGTCATGTCGCTGGGAGCCGAGAGGAGGATGGAAACCCGGCTGAAGAAGCTGGAGGACATGATCAGGGACCCCAGATCCGCCATAAACCTGGAAAGTTTGCTGGTGAGTTTAAAAACAAAAAACGGGATACACCTCATAGAATATTAATGGTGCCGTCTATCACCTGGAACCTGCAGTCACATAATGCTCACGTCAGGGCTGAAACCAGACACCCYTTTTTTTGTTGTTGTTGCCATGTTTATGTTGAGTTAAACGTGACGGTGGATGTGTACTTCAGAYAGCCTGATTAATGGTTAAGACCGGGGGCAGACAGCACAGTTTGGGGCTCTCTGAAGCGTGTCTGCAGATTAGGATTAACTGGGACTAATATTTCCGGACAAAACTCCCACTCAGTTTAGTAATTAGGGATATGTACACCAGCTGTGGCACTTACACATAGTTTAATATTTTAAAGGGCAAAACCAATGTTTTTGCACCTCTGTTGTCATGTTAGCAAAATATCCCATGCACCACTGGACACATCTTGGTTGAACTCTCATGATTGTAAACACCAGATTTGCACCTACAACTGTGGCATCTAATGTTCACACTTTGGAGATGAGAAGTGTGAAGTAACAGGAAGTGACATCAAAGGGAAACGTCTGCATGTAAACAGCATTGCTGCTACGGTTAACAACACAGCCTGTAGAGAAGAGTTTGATGTTTATTTTATCATAGAGATAAAGAAGAATCAGTTCAGTTATTGTTTAGATAAACAAAACTTAGTTTTCTCACAGTTCCCCTTTGATGTCACTTCCTGTCTCATTTTGACCTTGCCAATTTATTAAGAAAATATACCATTTATGTGACAAAGTGGGTAAAATCAGGAGTATTTTGCAAAGTTTCTTGACTTTTTTTTTGACTTTTTGTAGCTGAAGGATATGCATACCTAAGTCTGTCAAGTAGACCAGTGGTTCCCAAAGTTAGGGTCCCACCATGGGGTCCTGAAACAGCAAGGTGGGGTCCTGAGAAGATTTTCTGGATTAATTGCACACTAATTAAAATGACAACATAAGCTGGTACAAAAGAGTGAGTTTAATGTACTTAAATGGATAAAAGTAATGTAACAAATATTGTTACTATGCCCTGGTTTATTTGACCTGACACCAATGTTTATCGGGGTTGGCCAAAATCGTGTTGTGTGCAATTAATCGTCTGAAAAACTGTYATCAATTAGTATTTGACCCTTTGCAGTTACTGTAATTAGTGCCATTTGATGATGGCATATTCTTGCATTTAATACTTTCACTATCAGGCGTGCATGTAAGCCCAGGGGTGGAAGGCAGTGCAGAGCAGCTAATGCTAATGCTAACACTAAGAGAAAAGGCAGACCGAGGAATTTGTAACAATTTTTAACTACGAAATCCAAGCTTGCTATATTTCATCAAATGGTAGACACTGAGTTAAACTTTGGTGTGATGGTAGCTGAGAGTCATTCCCAGTTTGAGCCCTGAGCTCTAACGGATCTCAGAGATCTGTTGTTAAAAAGTCTTTGTCTGGTAACAAAATATCTCATCAACCACTGGATTTGTTTTCTTTTTTTTTTCTGGATGGCCTCCCTTCTCCTCTTATAGCCAACCTCTCCACACCATTATGATTTTTTTTTGTGAAGAGAAAATAGAGAGAGAGAAAAACAGAGAAGTAATTAGAAAGATAGAAAGACTGAAATAGTGATTAGAAG